CACACATGATGGCCCTGGACACAGAGGGTCCCACCAGACATGGAAGCCTGGAGGGAGACACAGGAGGGAATGTGCCTGGCCCAGGCAGGGGCCATCCCTTCACCCAGTCTGTGCCTGCAAGTCAGGCATGTGTCATCCTCACGAGGGGGCAGTGTACGAAGCCATCCAGTAGTCCATGAAGAAATGTCACACACTCATTGGCCCGTGCTGCAGAGAGAGGAGTGGATGATGTGGGGCCCCCCTGGGGCACTTATCTGCTCAGGGGGGCGATGCTTGAGTGGGGCTCTGGAGGTTGGAGGGGCCCGAACCCTGGAAGATGAAGGACAACAAAGGTCCTGGGGCATAACCAGGCCAAAGGAGGTGCAAGTGGCTGGAGCAGAGATGCAGAGGAGCCTGTGAGCCAGTGGAGGAAGCAGGGTGGTTGGAGCTTAGATCCTGGCCCCCCACCCAACCTGAAGCTCTGGGAGGAGACATAGGGGCAGTGGGATCAGATCTGCATTTCAAAAACAGGCGTGCTCTGGCTGCAGAGACCCAAGGGAACCAGAGTCCAGACACTGGTCACCTGGGACGGACCAGTGGTAGCACTGGGTACCTAAACGTCAGTGGGGCCCAGAAGTCTCTAAAGGTCACCCAAAGGGGTCTAGCGCCGTGTCAGATGTGGACGGGGAGGGGGAGAGCAGCGTCCAGGAAGCATAGCCAGGGGCGGATGGATGACGGGTTTAGCCACCAAAACAGGACCCTGGGGAAGAGACCAGGTCTGGGGGAAGATGTCGGGTTCCTTTTTAGACACATGGAATCGCTCCCCCTTGAGCCAGCCGAGGCAGCGGGGCGCCCGGGCTACAAAGAGTCATGGGGGTCCCCGAGCCCTGGCTGCAGCTGGGGCGGGCGACTCCAGCAGAGGAGGGGCAGAGGGGAAGGCGGCACCCCTCAGGGCACCCCTCAGAGGCCCAGCACGGGAGGAGGAGTCCAGAGAGGAAGGCGGAAGGCAGGAAGGGGTGAAAGCCGGCGGGCAGGCGCAGTTTAGGAAGAAGGGCGCAGCCAAGAGCCTCCAATGCTATTCCCAAATCTAGAAGATGGGGACTGAAACTGAATGCTGGATTTAGCACCATGGGGGCCTCAGTGAGGCATAACCGCGCCCCACCTCCCGTGTCCCCAGATGAACATGCGGCAAGGGGAGGCAACGTTCATCGAGGAACGCAGGGCTCGGGAGAACCGGCTCAATCAGCAGAAGAAGCTGATTGACAAGATCCACACGAAGGAGACCAGTGAGAAGTACCGCCGGGTAAGTCCCTACGGGAGCCCCACTGCTGCGCAAGGAACATTGGGTGGCCCGCTCCCCAGCAGAGGGTGCTGCTCATTTCGTCCTCCCTTTCCTACCAGGGCCGGCGGGACTTGGACTTCCCCTCCAATCTGATGGGTACAGAAACTGTGAAAGGTGAGCACTCAGCTCTCTGCCACCCCCAGCCAGGGTCCTGGGAAGCCCGCACGGGCACAGGCCACCCAGTCAGGTCTCTGTGAGGCCAGGTGCAACCTGCAGTGGCCAGGGTGAGGGAGACACCTGCCCCTCCCCGGCTCTACCTGCAGAGGCTCAGTGCCAACAGCCACAGCCCACATCCTTGGGCTCGCTGCCGAGTGTGGCCAAGCCCCCAGCTCCTCCGCTGTCCCCTGGCACCCCAGGGCTCGATCACCCAGTGATTCCTCAGAAGAGATAAGTCCGGCCCCCTGGACCCTTGGGCTGCCTCTGAGAAGCGCCACAAAGGCCCCATGCCGGGCTGCTTCAAGTCCGGCCCCCTGGACCCTTGGGCTGCCTCTGAGAAGCGCCACAAAGGCCCCATGCCAGGCTGCTTCTGGATGGAGCTGCCCTGGGGCATCCCGGACAGGCCAGGTAAAAGTGCAGGTAGCTCTGATGGGTACCTGCCCAGCTCTCTGGTAGTCTCCCCTGATGCCTGGGCATGCACAGAGGTGTCTGGTGGCCTTAAGCAGAGCTCCCACGCCATTCCTGCATGCTGGCCACCCTTCCCCTCTGCTCTGCCCAGTGAGGAAAAGAGAGACCTCCAAGGCGGACATCGAGTACCAGACAGATGTGACTGCTTTGGTGGAGAAAGTGAAGACGGCTGTGCGGTGCTCCCACCTCTGGGTACTGCTCCCTGGCTCTCCTGGAGGTGGGGGAAGGCAGGGAGCCCCTGCCCCAGCCCAAGGCCTGGCTGAGCCTACTGAATGAAGGGACACAGAGCTGCAGCCCCCACGGCTGAAAGTAGAGAGCACTCTAGCATATCCAAGTCACATTCCAGGGGCTGCACGAGCCTGCTGGGATTCGAGGACCCAAGTGCTGAGACCTCCACCTACAACTCTGTCCCTTCCCAAACCCCTAGGACCACAATGAGAGGCCGCCTCTGCCTGGCCCTTCTGTTTAATCCGATCTGGGTTTATTATTAGTAAGCCTTAGCTCCCATCCTCGGCCCTGACATAAGCTTGTCCATCCTCAGACAAGTGGCTCAAAGCGAGGCAGTCTTTCAGGGGTGGTCCCCTCGTTTCTGCCTTGGGCTGTCTGCTTGTTGTGTGGGTCACATGCCCTGACTCACCTAAAGTGCTTCGCCCAGTGCCTGGCCACAGTGAGCATCATTCCTGACCATGGGGAGGGACCCAGAAGAAACCAGTTCTGCTTCTCCCCACACTGGCCCCACCAGGACATCGCTGGCCGGTTCCTGGCTCAGAGGAACACTGAGAAGAACCTGGAGCTGCAGATGGAGGACTGTGAGGAGCGGCGGGCGAAGCTGGAGGCTTTGATGAAGAAGCTGGAAATGGAGGAGGCAATGCTCAAGTTCCACAAGACGCCCAGCTCCGTAAGGTACCCTCCAAGGCCTCTGCCTTCCACGGGGGCCCCCCTGACTGTTCCTCGTGAACAGCCTGTGTGGGCTGGGGCCCAGCTCGAGCTGAGAGTGTCCGCTGCCAACAAGCATGTGGGTACCTGGCAGGTGGGCTGGAGGGGCCCAGTCAAGGGGTGCCACATGCCCACACCTGAGCTATCTGAACTCTGGAGCCCCTGCATTTAGAACACAGCACTCAGCTCAGGGCTCAGGCCGCCTTAGCCCGGAATCTGTGCCACCATCCTGCCCAACAGTTTCAAGTCCGTGGAGAAGAGAATGAACGACATGCTGAGAGAGGAGGAAGACAGACTGCAGCTGGCCTACTCCAGCATGACCAAGAGCCAGAAACTGCTGTTGACCGTCCAGACAGGCATTGACAACCTCTTCATCCGGCTGATTGGCATTGCCCTGCCCACAGCCCAGGTACCAGGTGCGGTGGGGGGGAGCCGCCTGCACAGAGTCCCTGGGAGAAGCCAGAGGAGAGACGGGACCCTTCTCCCGGCCTTCAGAAAGAAGTGGCGCTCTCTGACAGCCTCGACGTGTTCAGCAAGCTGGCGTACTGCGAAGCAAAGCTCCTGTACCTGGCTGACAGAGTGCAGATGCTGTCCAGCACCGAGGAGGTAGCTGGAGGCTGGGCATGCCTGCGCGTCCCACGTTCCCCTGGAGCTGACAGTCCCCTGTGCCCTGCAGGTGGACACAAAGGTGAGGGATGCCCTGGAGACCTCGACTCTGAAGGAGAAGCAGAACACCAGGATCAGCCTTGAGGACCTGGAGGAGGATATGATAGGTACAGGATCGGGGCTGGGGGCCAGGCCACACAGCCCCAGGGAGGGGAGGAGTGGCAGATGGCTCCGTCTGCCCGGGACAGCCTGGAGGCACAGGGGGCACTACAGGGACAGAGAGAGTGTATCCCCTGTTCCCATGGGATTTTAATTCAGGGAAGTGACTTAGTGAGGACACCGAGAGGCTAATGCCATCGGAAGGAGAATCTGTTACATTTCCTGACATACGGGAGCATCACCGCCTTCGAGGAGTGAGAGAGGAGCGAGGGAACGGCCTAGACCTTTCTTGGGGTTTCTGCAGGAAAGGGGGGGTGGAGGACAGGGCAAACAGCTTCAGATGGGCTTTTTGAACAATTCTGGTGGGCTTGGGGTGTAGGGCTGTTCCCAGTTGCCTGGCCCTGGCTTGATTCAGGCGGGGGAATATTGGCTTGGTGTGAGGGTTTGATAAAGCAGGGGGTGGCGGATGTGGGCTCTGGACGGGTTGGTGTGCAAGAGAGACGGCTCCCAGCAGCCAGCCTTCTGCCCTAAGAACTGGCCAGCCCTGCGAGTGGCAGCCTCTCCCCGAGCGTGTAAGACCCCAAACGCCAGGGCACCAGGAATAGAGAAAATAACAATAAGTAGCTAGTACCTGGCCCCGGGACGAATGCAGGCCAACAGAGTGGAAGCAAGCTCGCAGGAGCAGAGGGGCTGCAGCGCGCGGCTCCCCTCCTCCTCGCCCTCCTTTCTAGAAACCTTCCAGTTCGCAGACGTGGACCACAGCTACGTCCCCTCGCGGGCCGAGATCAAGCGGCAGGCCCAGCGGCTGATCGAGGGGAGGTTCAAGGTGGCCAAGAAGAAGAAAAAGTAACCCCGAGGAGGAGGAGCCCCTGCCCCGCCCCGCAGCCGGCGCTTTGTTAAACAAATAAACATTTTTCCAGGACTGCTGGGGCACCGGGGGGGGGGGGGGGGACAGAAGTCTCAGACACGAGCCCGGGGGGCCGCGGAAGTGGGGGGGATCACGTGAGGAAGTCGGCGGGAAAGTGGGATATTGGGTGTGGGTCCGGGATTGAGGGGTGAGTGGTGGGGTGGGCCCAGCGAGGAAGCGGAGCTGTCAGGCCCGCCCCGAAAGCCTAGGGACAGCCCCAGGCCTGGCGGCTGATGTGGCTCCGCGCCCGGCTCCGCCCGCGCCCTCCTGCGCATGCGCATGCGCACCGTCCGCCGCCGCCGCCCGGCCGGGCCCCTCGCGGTGCTGCTGAGCGCCGAGTCCGCGTCCACGCGCGCCCCGCCGCGCATGCGCGCACCCCTTGGCCCTCGCGGCACCCCGTAGCCGTGCGCCTCGTCGAGCCGGCGCCAAGATGGCGGCTCTGACAGGCGGAGGGTGGCCGCGCCGGGGGTCGCGAGGGCTAGAGCGGAACCGCAGCGGCTGAGCCCCTGAGCCGCCCTCGAGGCAGGCACCCGGCCGCCGGGACCCAGGACATGGTGCGACCCGCGCCGGGCCGCCGCCGTCGCCGCCGCCGCTGAGCTCGCGGGCCGCGCCGGGCTCGAACGTGGGAGCGGGAAGATGTTTTCCGCGCTCAAGAAGCTGGTGGGGTCGGAGCAGGCTCCGGGCCGCGACAAGAATATCCCCGCCGGGCTGCAGTCCATGAACCAGGCGCTGCAGAGGCGCTTCGCTAAAGGGGTGCAGTACAACAGTGAGTGCAGGCCGGGCGCTCAGGGTTCCTCCGGGGGGACGTGGAAAGTGGGGTCCGAGGGGGTCCGCAGGCACGGGCCGCGGCGACTGGGACTTGGCAGAGACCAGGTCGCGTCCCGGGCCCGGAAGCACTGGAGCCCTGTCGCGCCCCCAGGGCCTTGCGGTTTGCGGGTGGATGTGGCAGGTCCTGTTCATCTCTGTTGAAGATACGCTGAGCCCTTACCTGTGGCAGGTACTCTAGGGGCGTTCACTTGGGGTCGGGAGTTCATGCCGGGCCGGAGACGAGGTCCTGGAGGACCCCACGGCCGGAGGGTGGGCGACTCGGCCCATGGCGTTCCCCTCTGACCGATGGGTCATTCCCGAGGAGCACTGGCACGCGTAGAAATCTGTGCGCTTAGTTTGCACGGTAAAATTAAGTCCAGGCGTTTCCTGGTGCGTTTTCCGGTGCCCTGATTGGCCCGGATAACCTCGTCTAAGAGTGATTCTTACATAACGTGGGGATAGCTCTGTGGTCTGTGACGCCTGAGGGGTGGGGGGGCTCCCCGTCAATGAACCACGTGACTACCTCCCCAGGAGCTGTGAGATCCCGCTGGCCCTGGTGTGGTTTGAGCGTTGGGATTTTTCTTCATAGACTTTGTATTCAGTTCGAAGGGAATATCATCTACGCCACATATTCCTGCCCCACCCACTCCTTTTTTTAAGAAGCATTTGTAAGGGATATATTTGGAAAAAGCTCCAGAAGGCACAAAGACTCTTACTTATTGTAGGAGACTTCTTTTCCCCTGAGGGAAGGAGGAGTTATTTTCAGATGCCCCGAGAGCCCAGGACGTTTCCAGGCCTGTTATAAATTATGCAAATTGTATAGCTCCTGAACACTAACCGTTCTTTGACCTCTTTTAAGTTTTTCCATCTCGCTGTCCCTTTCCTACCATTATTTAAAAGCTTTTTATGTTGTTCTCTGCTTTTAAGTTGTTCCTTTTCAAGTATTTTCATATGTTGCTACAAGATTCTGAACTTCTCCCTACCCCTCCCTTTGCTACTTTAAGGGAGCTTTCTGGTCTCTATGGTGACCTATTTAGACAGTAATGCACAATACTAAGAAACTTAATTGGAAAGATCTCTGTGCAGGTTTAAAAGAGAGGTCGTTTTAGTTGTATTCAAGTCACAATTTTGTATCTGTTTCTCTCACATTCAGAGAAGAGAATGTTAAGTCAACATACTCATTTGCACAAATCTGTAGGATCTACATTTGGATTCCCTCATTTGCTTTTATTACTTATGGTATTATTTTAAACTTAATCCTAGTCTTGTGGAAATCAGAGCTGGAAGCTGTAAATTTTTCACCTTCTGAAAAGAAATTCCTGAGAGGCACATTGCCTAGCCTTGGGTGGTTAAAGAAGGCCGGGGGGGCTCAGTAGAATTGTTCCAGAGAAATAAACCCACCCTCAGGTAGTTGGGGGACAAGTTATGATTCCCTAGGACTGCCGGAAAGGGGGTGAGATGGAGAGAAATTGCATTTAGAGGGACTTTGTCTCTGTAGTTGAACAATATGCAACTTTGAAACTTTCTGATTTCCTTTATTTTCCAAAATATCTTACATAGGGGAAACAAGCCAGCAATCTGATGACTATACACTCAGAATTTTTAATGGCAAGAGTTGATGATGTCCAAGTGTAGATGTTGTTTCTTACGGAACCTTGTCCTCTTGGGGCAGACAAGTCATTTCCTTTTAAGTTGCTCTGATAATGAGAAGTGGCTCAGGTCACATGCAAGAGCCCCAGCATACACATCAAATTTAGAATCAAAACCTGAATGAGACATTGGACCATAATTATAGTTTGAAAGTTATTTGCATTCAAAGTGGAAGAAAGAATGTTACTGGACTTGGTCTGTCCTTTCTGCCATCACTGGACTCAATTTCTTAGCCCTGTTTGCTGAAGAAGCCTTAACTGGGACAACTTTCCAGGTGGGGAAACACCAGTCCTAATGGAACTTGTCAGGAGTGCCCTTGCTCAGGCCTGCATTCCTCACAAAGAATGCTTCCAGACACTGGGACAGCCAGAGTCCTGGCCAGGTGGATCTCGGTGCTAGAATTTAAAAATGAACTTACACACTCCTTCACTAACAAACCTTTTGAAAGGTTAATTTCAGGGTAAGAGAGCTTTTTCAGGGCAAGAAGGAAATAGCTTTAAGATTATATCAAGATTCCGTGAACAGACAAGTCATGTTTGAAAAAGAACCAAAGAGAACCTCCTGGAATGAAAAACATGGTCGTGAAAATTAAAAAGTCAACAAACAGGTGAATCAGCATAATAACCAGACTAAAGAGAGAATTGGCGCTGGAAGAGAGATGTGCAGCCCAGAAATGAAGCAGATTCCAACACATGCCTGATAGGACTTTGAGACAGAACAGCGAGAACGGGGAAGAAGCAGTATTGGAGGGAATGAAGACTGAGGATTTTGCAGAATTCATAAAATACATGAAACTCCCAAGAAGTCCAAGTCCAGAGTTTTAAAAACATACATAGCCAGACACATCATTAGAAATTTTCAGAACATCAGGGCACCTAGGTGGCTCAGTCAGTTAAGCGTCTGACTCGTGATTTTGGCTCAAGTCTTGAGATTGAGCCCCATGCCGGGCTCCGTGGCTCAGCTTGAGATTCTCTCTCACCCTCCCTCTGCACTGCCCCCTCTCCCCCACCCCACTTGTGTGCGTGATCTCTCTAAAAGAAAGGAACGAAGGAACAAACAACCTACATTCAGAGAGCCAAGCATCACTCTGGCTGAGATGACATGGAAGGCGAGGGTACTCAGCTTGCTTTCTGCACCTGGTAAACTCTGGTGTCAGACAGAGGAAGACAACACAAGAAGCAGGGTAGCCATCCAGTCCTGTCCGTGAGCACAGATCTAATAACCTAGTGAGAGGTCAGGAAGTGAGCACTAGAAAATCATCAGAATATTAATAACAAATCATTGCATTGAGACCAAGTAAGACTACCCCAGGAATGCAAGGATTAGCAGAAAATACATATTCTATGCTCTCCCGTGGATTAAAGGAGAAAAAGCATTATAATCTCAATAAGTGCAAGAAAAAGATCTGATAAAATTCAACACCTATTCATGATTTACAGAAAATAAAGAGAGAAAACCCACTTCTTTTTTTAAGATTTTATTTTTAAGTATCTCCACACCCAACATGGGGCTCGAACCTATGACTCTGAAATCAAGAGTCACACGCTCCACTGACAGAGTCCTCCAGGCGCCCAGAGGAAACCCACCTCTTAGTAAACTAGGAACAGAGGGAATCTCTTTTACCTTTTTCTACCAAAAGGAGGGTATCTACCAAAAGCTGTGTCTGTATATACTAATGAGACAGAGGAAGTGTTTCTTTTAAAATCTGGACCAAGGGAAAGACTCCCCACTTTCATTAAGCTTTTCCATTGGTTTATGGAATTACTCCCAGCACAAGGAAAAATAAATTAGAAGTGGCGGGGGGGGGGGCAGATATATGCTCTTCAGGGAAAAAATTAACATAAAAAATCAAAAATAAGAGTTTTCCCTTTGTCAGGACACTTTTAGCTGTAGGAAGCTGACTACTCACAGCGTCTTTACCAAAGTGCCCAACCTCTGTTTCTAGCGGTGAGATAGAGCTGGTAACCTGAGCAGCCCTCCCCCTAAAAACCATTTGAAACATTTGAATAAAACATTTAGAAAAACATCAACACATCACTCAGTTCTTGAACTTAAATATTGTACGGCTGTTCATTGCGCTTTTCTCAAAAGCAAAGCGAGTGGATATTGGGAGGGAAGCCAGCTCTGAAGCTGCCCTCTCCCTGAGGGCATCTGCCTGACCCTAGCTATGTGGTAGTTGGGTTGGGGCAGGAAGAAAAACTGAACCCGTTCTAGGAGGGGCGTGTCCCAGGGGACCCCTGCACAAAGCCCAAGTGGGTGACCTCCAAGTGGGTTTTCCTTAAAAACATCAATGTGGTCCCAAAAATCTCAAATGGAGAATTTACATAAGGTCTTCCCAGGTTGTTAGTGTTCCAGACGACAGGCAGAAATATTACAGGGGCCTTCTGATGAATGCGGCTTCAACCCAGACCTTAAAGGGGCCCTGTGGATAAAGTTCCAAGAAACGACGAGCTGCTGGTGGAAGATCAGGAAACACTCAGTAAACGAAGCACCCAGAGCAGGATCCTACAGCTACAGCAAACATCAGACCCTGGCCTCTGAAAACGTCAGGTTTCACAGAACATAAAGTCGGTACACAGTCAATAATAATGTAACAACTTTGAGTGGTGGCAGATGGTAGTGACCCTTAGGGTGGTGAACATCCTATGATGTATATAAATGTCAAATTAGTGTGTTGTACGCCTGAAACTAACATACCATATGTCAGCTCTACTTCAATAAAAAATAAAGTCGGTATGTATAATATGTTCAAAGAAATAAAAGAGGTTTGTAAATATAAGTAGGAATTTGAAGACTATACAAAAAGGACAAGTAGATTTGAAAAGGAACCTGCCTCCGGAAAGCTAAGCTAAGAAAAGGTAAGAAACTGCAACCGTGGAATAAGAACATAACGCTATAACAAGTAACATCCAAAGAGTAAAAAGATAGTGCAGTTCCTGACCTGTTCTCAGGATGGCCCGGGGACTGGTGCTCTGCATTTGTCCTGCCCTCAGCCTGGCCAGGGGTCTTCGGGGGGTAGGAGCCTGCCACACCCTGGGGGTAAGCTGCACTTGGTCTGTCCCACTGATCCTCAGTGAACGAGGGACAGAGACCCCAGTGTCGGGGGGCTCCCCTAAACTGGCATGCTTCCTGCAGGATGCTCAGGTTCATGACAGGGGCCCGGGACATCCCCAGAGCTGAGCTGACAGCACAGACATGCCCTGACCTTTCTCCCAGGTTCTCCTAGGTGTTTGGCTCCTGGCTGGAATCAAGTCTAGATTGCCTGGACCTTGAGGGCAGTGGCTTGTTGTGTCCTATCTGGTGACATGATAAAGTAGGTGATGTTTCGAGTGAAGAACAACTAGCATGTCCCAAAGACTAAAGCTGGGACTGGGGGGGGATGGGACGGGATGAGGAGGTTGATGTGGTGACCTAGTGTCACAGGAGGAGTAGTGAGTGTTCAAGAACAGAGGGGCTCGGGAGCACTTGGGGGTGCGAGGAGGGAAAAGCCGGATGGCCAGGGGGATCAGACCGGGGCTCTAGGGCAGCTCCTCGGTGTCCTCACCCAGCCCCAGGGTGTGAAGCACCGTCCCCCATCCACAGGGCTACTCCAGGCACCTGCCCTGGGTCCAGGAGCATGGCAGGTCCCTCCCACAGGCTGCCCATCCACATGTCTTCTCAAGCCGGAACCTTCCCAGGGGTCCAGTCCATCACCATGGCCGTCAGCTTTGCTCCCATTCTCACCCCTGCCCCTCTGGCTCTGTGTGGCGTTCCTGACTGCTCTTCATCTTTCTAGAACCAACCAGACCATGGCACTCTTAAACTGAACGCAGCAGGAGCCCGTCTTCCTGCATGGTGCTGCGGGATTTGGCCCCTGCCTGCCCAGAGTCCACACACTCAGCTGCCTGTGGGCTTGGTCACCACCGCCTGTGCGCACCCAATTCACAGGCCGCTCCATAAATACGTGTGCAGCAAGTAAAACAATCCTGGCTGTGTGCTTTCACCCCACCTGGGGGCCTTGAAAACGGTGGCATTCCGCACAATTGTGTGCTAAAAATACCAGGGCTCTGAAAAAGTAGGTTAAGAGCAAGTTACAGAAATCTAGGGAGCTGCCTGAGGAGAACGTCAGCTGCCCCCTGACCCCTCCTGCAGCCTGACCCTGGCGCTGTGAGTCAGGGGTCCCCAGGACATCCAGCTCCAGGGGAGATCACTTTCTTGCAGGTGCAAAGTCTGAGCAGGCTGTGACTCCGTCAGCCCGGGGGGGGGGAAATGCCTTCAGGGCCCTCCTCTGTGGAATGGGGGAGAGCCGAGGGCCAGGCTGGGGCCGCGACCCCTCGGGGGTCTCCCAGCAGCCCACCCCCACCCCCAGCACCCAGCTCTTCCCCGCTCGCCAGCCAAACAGGCCATGCTCTGTGTGGATCAAATGTGTGGCATGTGGACTCCATCGACGGAGTTCGAGTTTGCCGCTGGTTTGATTTGCTTCCCTGCTCTGTCCTTTCCCCCAGTGAAGATAGTGATCCGAGGAGACAGGAACACGGGCAAGACTGCACTGTGGCACCGGCTCCAGGGCAAGAAGTTTGTGGAGGAGTACATCCCCACGCAGGAGATCCAGGTCACCAGCATCCACTGGAACTACAAAAGTGAGGCCAGGGGGCGGGCCAGGGGGCGGGGCGGGCCGGGGGGGCGAGGTCAGAGCGCAGGCACGGCGCCCCCTGCGGGGTGGGGGCTTTGATGGAGCCTCGCTAGGCCTGGTTCCTCAGAGAGCCTTCCCCGGCGTCCCCAGCCGTGGGGTCATCATGGAAACCCTGTAGACGTGAGGGAGCCTCCTTGAGCAGAGGCCCTGTCATGGGGGCACTCACTAGAGCTGCTCCTGGGTGGCCCTGAAACCCCCCTTGCCATGGGCACTGCTGCAGAGAAACAGACAAGGCAGTGGTGGGGGCTCCGCATAGGGAGCTGTGTCAAACACCCGCTCTCAATTCTAGAGACCCCCAAAGGGCAAAAAGTTTCAGGTTGAACACAGGAGACATCTGTGGGAGCCGGTAGCTGATGCTCCCCACTGCACCGGCACTGGGCACACATGTGTTCCACCAGCAGGAGGGACCCCTCAGTCTCTTTGAGCCCCAGTGCTTTCCCCTCTGCAAGATCGCCTGATGGACAGAACATGCCTCGCCTTGCAGCCCCACAGGCAGCAGACAGTTGCTTTGCGTGTTCAGAAACCAGGAAAGTAAAAGTCCTTTGAACCATTTCCAACATTCCTTTTTACTGACAAAAATATAGTTGTGAACAGGACGCGTGGGGCCTGTAGAAGTTGTGACTCCCACTGAGTGATGACCTAGCCCCATCCCAGGACAGCTGCACGGCCCGGCGTCACCCCAGCTCACCAGCTGGGGCTGATGGAGCCTTAGGGCCGCAGCCCCGGCACTCCTGCGCGGTTGGGGTGAAGCTGGCAGTGGAAGCCTGCTCTTACGCCCCTCAGCTTGAAGGCAGGTGCACAGCAGTGCCCCACCTGTCCCCTTTCCCTTCGGAATCGTGGGGATGGAGGGGTGAGCCCGCTCTCCTTGCACTTGGGCCAACCACCAGGACATACGGCACAGAACCTGGGCCCAGACGGGCCATTCACAGGGTCCGCTCCCTGGGTCCGGACACCCATCCCGGGTGGAGAACTGCCAAAGAGGGGCTAAGAGTCTCCCCTCTGTGGGGAACAAGCAGAGCACGAAAGACAGGTAGTTCTGGGAAAGCCTGGTGGTGAGCCATCCCCATGGCCTGTGCAAGCGCCCACCTCCCAGCAGGGGCCTGTGCCAGGTCAGCTCCACCAAAAGCTTCGGTAGAAGCTCAATGTTGAGCAGCCAGCTGGAGAGGGCCAACGTCCCATGGAACAAAGTTGAGGCTGGTCGCTGGATAACAGGCCAGAGCATGGTCAGGCCCACTGAGGCCTGCCCCAGCACCCAGAGCCTGCCTGCTCTCCAGGTGCATCTGCATCCAGAGTCTGCTCCCCAGCTGCCCCAGCACCCAGAGCCTGCTCTCCAGGTGCACCTGCACCCAGAGTCTGTTCCCCAGCTGCCCCAGCACCCAGAGCCTGCTCTCCAGGTGCACCTGCACCCAGAGTCTGTTCCCCAGCTGCCCCAGTACCCAGAGTCTGCTCCCCAGGTGCACCTGCAGAGGGGACCCTAGCTATGTGGACCTGGCAGGGGACAAGCCCACCCCAGGGACATCTGCAGGAAATGGGGAGCATGTCAGCTGAGGACAAGCGGGGGTCGTTCAGTGCCGCCCGAGCAGAAGCCTAAAACAGCGAGGAGCCTCGCTGCCCTCCGGGGAAGGAGGCTGCAGCTGGTGCAAAGGCCGTGGGAGGGAGTGGGGTGTCCTTGGTGAAGGTGCTGAGCGAGGAGCCCGAGGTGTCCTGGTGGGGGACCCACACTGGAAGAAGGAACACACAGCAACACCTGGACGGCCCCTAAGAGCCCAAATGTGACCAGAAAGAAAGTTGAAGGTCATGTTGGACACTAATTTTCATGTCTTCCCCTACTTTAGCCACTGACGATATCGTGAAAGTTGAAGTCTGGGACGTAGTTGACAAAGGTAAGTCACATCTTTTCATCATGAGTACTTTTTCCTGATGCTTTATTCCTTCTGTGAACAGAAGTCCTCCTCGCCCCTCCCCGCCCAGCCATAGCCACTTCGTTGGCGCATCCTTATGCGGCTCGCGTCCGGCATCGCAGGCATGCAAGTCTCTGCGTTCTCCTCAGACTCTGGGTGGACGAGGAGCAGCCCGGGGCTGCAGGAGGTCTGGGCCTTAGAGCAGCTCCCTCCTGCACCTGGGGTGGACGGGGCGGGACGCCCAGCAGTGACCCATCGGGACTGCAGCCTTTGCTGTTGAAATGCGTGTTTCACCCACTGAGGCAGCACACGGTAGTGGGGGGCGGACACTGGTGGCAGAGCTGGGGGGGGCTCCATACCCAGAGGCCCGCATGGGCTGTTCCAGGAGCCCCTCCTGCAGTGCCCCCGCGCCCAGAGCTGAGCGCCAGCTTGTTGGCTTCCGAAGCTGCCACCCCTCGGGGGCACATGCCCACCTGACTGCTCCGCTCGGGCACCGCCGGCTGGGTGTCTCTGCTCTCCCAGGGAAGCACTTGAGCTTTCGGGGCCCCAAACCTCTGGGGCCATACCCATGTGCACCTGGCGGTCAGGGGCAGACATGGGCCCCCTTCGGCACCCTCTTATTTCCTCCTCACTCTCAGGCCTTGAGCCCGTGTTCCTCCCTGGTGCCAGTGCCCTGTGCGGCCCGTGTGCTGCAGAGCGTGGTCTGACCTCTGACCTGGGAGGCTTGCCACAACTGCATGTGTCCTCCAGTGAGAAAGGAGACTGTGGTTTCTGGTGCGGAATGTGCCCACCCGTCTCCTCTCACCGTGTTCTCAGGAGGTGCGTTTAGGTTCCCAGGACTGATTCAGCTGGTATAGGACAGCCCGAGGGCGAGCAGGAGCACCAAGCAGGAACTGCTGCCCGCCGGGATGCCTTCAACCCTGGTGGGCTTATATGGGCCTCGTGCTTCCAGACCTGGGCTGGCAGCGTGTCCGTGCACGTGTTTGGAAGGCAGCCCTGTGCGGCGTGGTTACCGTTGTAGATTTGAGGGAAAGTCTCCACGCCCTGGGGGCTCCCCTCCTGAAACACTGCCCACTCCTTCCTGGCCTCAGCCCCATCGGTTTGGGGTAGGATGCAGGTTTCCAGAGTGGAGTCCATATTTGGGACAGGGCCCCTTCTGGTCAGCAAGTTACATTGTCACTGGTGGGAACTGCCCCGTGGTGCAGAGGAGATGGAGTTCCACTCCACGGATCATGGGTGTGCCCTGCTTCCTGCCTGTGGAGGGCGCAGAACCCACACACCACCCGCAGGGGCGGCTGGGGCAGGGACCTCTTGGCGCGGCTGTCCGTGGTGTCCCACGAGGCGCGAGGGGTGCAGGGACAGGGTGGCAGCGCAGGCAAGGTCCTAGGCAGGGACGGGGTGGCAGCCCAGGCAAAGGTCCTAGGCTTGTGTGTGGGTGCGCAGCATCTCCACAGCTCCATGCTACCTGGTCCCCTGGGTGAGAAGGAAAAGCCCCCTCTCCACCGCTCCAGCTGCTTGCCTCTTGGACAGGGTCTGAGCAGCATGCACAGCAGCAGAGGGCGTCAAGTTTGAGAGGCCGAGATCCTGGTGGAGAGCAGGAGAGGGGGAGAGCGGGAGGCGAGGCCCGGCGAGTCTTGGAGCAGGGCCCAGAAACTGCTTGTTCGGGTGCCCCCAAGAAGAGAGGGCCCTGGGGAGCAGCCTCGCCTCCCCCAGGCAGCGGTAGCTCCCTGAGACTGTGGGTGGTGCTGCAGGCGCCACCATGTGACCAGCTTCTGCTGCCCTGGGACAGCCCCGAAGGTGGTGAGAGGGTCAGAAAGAAGCTGTGGAAACTGGCAGCAGTCGGGTTTTTGATAAACGAACCCAGTTTGTTGGGGGGAGGAGAGAGCTTTCTTAGTTTGCCCAGGCCATTCCTCAGACTGAGGGACCTGAAATTCCCAGGGTGACAAACAGCCCCTCCTCCTCCCTTAGAACTATCTCAGAACTAAAGGGGAGGGAGCACCAATGGTTTGGGGCCCTCTAGTACTCAGGAGCCACTAGGGCCGGCTCTGGCACCCTGTGCTGCTCAGGGCCTCGGCCCAGCCCGGGCAGCTCCGTGGCGGCACCTGAGAGACTCGGCTGGGCTAGCCTGTGCCAGCTGACAGTGCCCTTTCAGGGCTGGGACCTCGGCCAGTCCAGGAAGGAAGTGCCGGAGCTTGAACCAGAGCCTGGGTGGCCATTAGGGCTGTCTTGCTCAGCAGCCCGCCGAGCCCTGCCGGGCACCTTCCAGTTGAGGCCGGGCTGTTGGAACCCCCCAGGGCCTCTCTCCTGGCTAGGTCGGGGCCGCTGTAGCTGCAGGGGGGGTCTCAGTGGGGTTGGGGCTGCTTCCTGCCACCAGTGGGGTTCCAGTGCCACCTGTGAGGGCCGGGGCCCCTAGTCTGACAAGTATGGCCCTGCTGGAGGTGGGGGCTGGCGTGGGGGTGGGACATGGGGAGAAGTGTTCCTCGCTGGGGCCACGATTCCCCCTGTAACTGTCATCTGTCTTCTAACAAGGGAAGTGCAGGCGGCGAGGTGATGGCTTGAAGGTGGAGAACGACCCCCAGGAGGTGGGTGAGCCACGTCCCCCCATGGGGCCCAGCATTCCAGGTGGGGGTCAGGACCCTCCCTGGGAGCCCAGTTGGACTAGCCGGCCCCACTCCTCATGGGCCCCTGTGTTGTCCACAGGGGTATTTTGGGATGGCTGGGCTTGCCTGAGCTGTTAGTGGTGACACCTGCCAGGCCCCACGAGAGGAGTTTCACCTGAGAGGTATTTAGGTGCACTGGCCAAATTCTGTGGCCCCAGGCACACATGGGCATGAGTATGGCTCTGAATGGGCTCTCCCAGCAGCCATTGTCCTTGACACAAAGAAGTCAGGGGCAGACAGGCACCTCTTCCATTCCAGAGAAGCTTTCTCCCCATTGTTTCCCAGGGACCCTGCTCTCTGTCCTCCTGCCTGTGGATGGTCATTCTCAGGGTGGTGGGCAGCCTCTTGCTCCCCTTGAGGGCAGGAAGGTTGGGTAACGGCCTGGTTCAGGTCTGTCTGGCCCTTCATGGGATGCTTTGCTACTGCCCCACAGTGCAGCCACACCTGTCTGTGTGCTCTAGAAGGTTCTGTGCCAGCGTCTTCCTCAGGCCTGGAACACATCACGCGCGGTACGGCACTAGCTGCTCCAGCACTCCTGTCTGGGCGCTAGAAGGTCCCTGAGGCTCACGAGGAGGATGCTGTTGGCTAGTGGAGCAGGCCCTAAATCAGGGGCAGAGTAGATGTGGCCCCAGAGCCTGAGCCGTTTACTACTAGACCCTTCTAGGCAGTTTTCCCCCCACTCTTGATGATCTCCTTTACATGTTTTTTTCCCAAATGAAGACTGTGCTTTTCAGCCATCCCAGGAGACAGGGCTCAGCTGTGGGAGCCTGCCCCGAGCACCATCTCATGCCGGTTGTGCCCCGTCCCTAGGCAGAGTCCGAGATGGCCCTGGACGCCGAGTTCCTGGACGTGTACAAGAACTGTAATGGGGTGGTCATGATGTTCGACATCACCAAGCAGTGGTAAGGGGGTGCTGGCTGGAAATAGCCGTCAAGGCTCCTAGTACTGCGCCACCTGGAGAGCCACTCCTGGGGGTCCAACAGGTTGTAGTTATACCAGCAGCTCAGCCACATGGAGGCCGTGGCTGGCCATCTCTGGGCATGTCCATGAGCACAGGCAGGGAGCATGTGGAGGGCGGGCTGGAGTGGGACAGCACGGGGGCGAGGCACGCACCTTCCACGGCCCCATAGCCCTTCCTGGAAGTACCATGCAACATTTGGCAGAATCAAATGGCCATTTGTTTGGGCTTCCCTAAGACACCCGTGACATTCTTTTATTCACTAAGGAGATGCAGAGGAGCTAAGATCCCAGCAAAAGACTACAGAGGGAGGTGCAGGGGTGAGCCTGGGGGTGGCCCAGCGCCAGCTCCCAAGGGACCCCTCCTCATGGAGTCACATGGGCAACATGACACATGTGAAGTGCTGTCTTCCAGGGCAGATGGGGACCCTCAATTCCCCAGGCCTGCCAGGCGACTGTTGGTGGAGAACACCAGGAGCCCCAGCCCGACAGCCGCCTGGGGCCCGACAGCTGCCTCGGGCCAGCCTTCCCGCAGGCCTCTCCAAGAACGACAGGCTCAGTCCTGCCCTGCGGACGCTGTTCCGTGCGCTGCCGGAAGTCTTACAAAATGCAGAAGGAGGAACTGAGCAGCCTTTGTAGAAATGGCCTGTGGGGTCTTCGCTCCATTTTCACTGTTTTTAGAGTTGTTTTATGATTCTTGCATATGTAGTACACGTTCACCATAGCAAACTCAGACGTCAGATGCTGGTGCTGGTGTCATTGGTGGGATCCAGCCAGGTTTCCCCAGGGTGTTCCACACGCAGACCTCCGTCTTTAGAGCTCTGGGATCTTGCTACAGGTCTGTGTGGATGCTGCTTTGATGGGAGAATACATTCACGCACAGGGATCTGACGGGGATCCGACAGGGCCTCCTGCCAGCCCTTCTGGCGCACGGGACGCACTCCTGGGTGCCTCCCATTGTGGACCACCCACTAGCACATGCATGGGAGGCCCCGGGGTGGCAGCAGGTGGAGCATCGGAAATGTGCCGAGCAGGGTGGGGCGGCCCTCGGGGCGCAGACGTGCCCATGCAAGAGGCAGCCACGCCGCCCCCCGCTCCAGGGGTAAACACCAGGTGGCAGCAGGACCAGCGTTTCTCCCATGTAAGCTGCAGTGGTCCCTTCTGCCCAGGGGGTTAGAGGTAGCTTTCCCTGCATGGAATCTGGTACGGACACTCTTAGCAGCCACTCCGCTTCGGCAGGCCCCCGCATCACTGAAGCCCCGTAGCCTTTGCTGAAAGGCAGGAGGCCCACATGGGGGAGCCATGGGAGGCCCGCTGGGAGGCATACCTGGGCTGCAGGGGGCAGAGCAGGTGCCGGCAGATGCAGGTCTGCCCGCTGGTGCTCAGAGCCTGGGGCGGTTCTCAGAGGCCCGGGACCTGCTCCAGCAGCACACTCCCTGCAGGTGGCGCCACTCTGCCCAGGTCCTTGCTGTGGCCAAGGAAAGCGGCTGCACTGCCCTCGTGGGTCAGCTGGCATTTGCAGTGGACGGTGCGGGCCAGAACAAGGCCTGAGTGCACCAGGCCCCGCGGGGCAGAGGAAATGCTAGAGACCGCGCAGGAGGGCAGACACCCCTGGCCCTTTGTTAACACTCCCAGTAACTGCATGTAAGTCAGAACTAAAGTCCGGTTTGCCACGTGGGCGTGCGGGTCTGCAGTTCCTGCCAGCAGTCTCCGGGTCGGAGGCACATTACTCCTCCCCTCACACGTCATCTGGGAGCCCCAGCCGTGGGCCGCAGGCCTGGGGAGCAAGGCCCTGACACTGCAGAAGCAACCCCTCGGAGAGCCCACAGACAGGGTGCGAAGACACCTCGCCAAAGGGACCCCCCAGGAAGGGAGCTGGAGAGAAAACAGCAGAAGCAAGGGCTGTTCTATAGGGTGCGGGCACACGGGGTCCTGGGCCCCGGACACGTGACGGGTTGGGGTGGGGGTCTCGAGGTTGACGCTAAGGAGGTCTCTCCTCTCCTGTGCCCCCTAAGGACCTTCAACTACATCCTGCGGGAGCTTCCCAAGGTGCCGACCCACGTGCCAGTGTGCGTGCTGGGGAACTACCGCGACATGGGCGAGCACCGAGTCATCCTGCCTGATGACGTGCGCGACTTCATCGACAATCTGGACAGGTGGGTGGGGCAGCCCACGCCGGGGATGCTCCCCGCCCTCCCCAGCTCCGGCGGTCCCTAGGCCAGGAGCCATGCTGCGGCAAGAGGATCTGGGACTAAGGATGGCAGAACCAAGGGTTGGCAGCTGCCTTCCTGGCACGCAGCAGGCCTGCGGGGGAAGGGGGGTGGTCACTCCATCCTTCTCTGAGGCCGGGGGTCGGGCTGATGCAGCGAGGGCCCCTCCTCTGGGCACGAGCCCAGGCTGGGCGTCGCCTGCTGGGCCCTCAGGTGTGGGCCCTGGGAACATGGAGGCACTGGCTCCAGCCAGGGGGGTGGGTGCTGGCATCAAAGACAGCCTGGCCCAGGTGTGGCCATTGGCCCAGAGGGGCTGCGCCCTGCTGCCCACCACCAGCCGCCTCAGCCTTCAGAGCCATTTCGTTCTTTTTGCAAACAGGCCTCCAGGCTCCTCGTACTTCCGCTATGCCGAGTCCTCCATGAAGAACAGCTTTGGCCTAAAGTACCTTCACAAATTCTTCAATATCCCGTTTCTGCAGCTTCAGGTGAGCCCCGCCTGTAGGGTGCAGCAAGTGGCACTGGGTTCTTCAGGGGCCGCTCTGGTGCAGGGACAAGACCACCGTCAGGACTTAGTGTGCTGGTGCTGGCGGCCCCAGCATGGCCCGCTCCATCCCCTCCCCTCCGCTGGGCTAGCTTGAGACCCAGGCCTTTCTAGAACTTTCACAGAGCTACAGGAGAACACAGGGATCCTTCAGATGCCCCTGTCAGGCCGTTTCTGACCAACAAGGCAGGAACTGGAGGTGTAGACGAGTGGTTGCCTCGGGCCCGCACCGACTCTGCTAAGGTGCCCGGTGCCGGTCCCTCTTCCCCGTGGGAGCACAGTCGGCTGCCCGCCCCCCCCCGGGTTGTAGCTGCAGGGAGAGCCTAGCCAGGTCCCACCCCCTCCTGGTGCCAAGGGCTCCTGGGCCCCTCGCTCCGTTTCCCCTGATGCCAGCCTCTCAGGTTTCCACTATGTTTCTCTCCAAACCACAGAAGCAGTGTCGGTGCGCTGACTGACGCAAGGCTGTCGCCCCGGGTGTCCCTCACAGGCCCGGCCCCACCTCACCTGGAGCATTCTGCTGAGCCTGCTCTGGGCTGTGAGAGCGTCTCAGGGAGCCCCATCCAGGGGTCCCATCGTAGTGGGGGCGTGCAGCATCTTGTCGGGATGCTGGCCCGTGGCCCCTCTGCAGCCGGGTGGCTGCCATTCTTTCTCCAAACTGTGTGGGCCTGCTCGGTAGAGTGGTGGTCTTTCCTCTCCTGGCTTCTTCTATTTGGAGGGAAACGAGGGCCCCACAGACAGGGTGCTCACTTGGTCTCACTTGGAAGGAAGGCTGGTGTGAGCAGACTCCGCAGCGGGGTCAGCTGCCCCTGCAGCCTGCCGTTTCCCCCAGGACCCTGCGTGTCGCGGGCACCCCTCTCACAGACCCCCCGTAGCTCCTCCTCCACGTGCGACGGGCACACAGGTCCTGAGGGGGACACCCCGCGCTTCCTGTGCCTGGCGCACGTGGAAGGGCCGAGGACCGGCCCCAAGGTGGCGTGTGCCAGAGCTCAGAGTGTGGAAGGACGGGCCGGAAAGCCTGGTGTTGGGCATGTTGGAGCCACTCCGGCTTCTGGGGGCACGTGTGTGGCCGGGGCACTGTCTCTCTGGGCGTTGCTCACGGCACTGACTGTGCCCTCGGAGCCACACTGAGCTACTTGGGTGTCTTGCTCGCTGCGGTGTCCTCTGTCAAGGGCTGGCTGAGTGGGGACGCAAGGCTGAGGGGCTCTCTGCTCCCTCCTCTAGAGAGAGACCCTGCTCCGGCAGCTGGAGACGAACCAGCTGGACGTGGACGCCACACTGGAAGAGCTGTCCGTGCAGCAGGAGACCGAGGACCAGAACTACGACATGTACGTCCGCCCGGGGGGCTGCCCCTGGACATTAGCCTTGCAGGCAGGCTCTGTGGGAGGGCCCACACCCTGAGGGCCAGCCTCCCTACACGTGCCTCCAGCTTAGGTCTGTGCCAAGCCCAACAGCAGCGCAGAGTGCCTCCCTCCTGGGCAGACCTGACAGCCTGAGTGGGTCGTATCGCTCCGAAAAACCCGAGTCATTTCAGCCTCGGATGTGGCCACAGGCAGGGACCAGAGTGCGGGCAGGACAGTGGTTCTCACCGTGAGGTCATCCGGCAGCCCTTGCCATTCTCTCTAGCAGGGAGCTTGTGGACTAATGGCCACTAGAGCACGTGCTCGTCTGGAACAGGCAGCTTGAATTGGACGTGGAGCCCCCTCCCCTGGGCTCCTCTGGACACTCCCTGGGGCCCACAGAGCACATTGGGGCTGGGCCTTTTCAAATTGGCCTCACCGGAACCCAGGGGGCTCCAAGCTGATGGGTGTGACCAGGGCCCTGCTGACCGACCGTTTGCTAGAGATGGTCACTGTGAGGGATGCCACTGACCCAGGACAAGTGTCCACCCAAGGCCCTGCTGAGACTGGCCACCCTTGTGTTTTCTGGCACAGGCTGCCATGGTTGGAGGTCAGTTTCCCAGACAGTAGAGTAGGTCTTCAGAGAGCTCCTTGACCTCGGGAGGGGCTTGTGGTGCTGAAGACTGGGGGCTAGGAATGGAACCTTCCAGTCCTTGGTAGCAGAGGGAGGGAGGTTCCTGGCTGCAGCTGTGCACAGCCAACCACAGAGCTGCGTGGGTGGTGAGCAGCCCTCGGGCAGGCCCAGCCACCGCCTGGGGGGCTCTGGTGGCCACCCCCCACAGCTCCTGGGAGGGGCCCTTGCTTTCAGGAACGGGTGACCCTGAACTACCCCTAAACACAGGTGTTTCTGTTTTGTTTGGTTCCCACAGAAAGCACCTAAATGTCACGGTTGCCCGTGCCCATGTCCTGGGCATGTTGCTCCCCCAGCAGGTGTCTGTCCCCACAGGGACTCACAGGAGGGCCTTTGGGTCTCCCTGGAGCCGGATCCATGTGTTGGTCCTGGAACTAGCTAGCGTGGTTCTGGGGGAATGCGTGCTTGTGCACCTAGGCTGGCCCTCCAGGAGGGAGCCCCAGCCTGGTGAGCGGCGGCCCTTGCTATGGAGCCCATCCCGGGGTTGACTGGCTTCTACGAGCTCCTCTGACCGAGAGCCTCGGTACCCGGCACCACCCAGCGTGGTGCCCCCCCCTGGGGAGATGGCAGCCGGAGCCCCTCGTCCACACGCGCCCCTCAGCCAGCCCTGGCACCAGGCTGCCCGAGCAAGGCAGCGCCGTTGGGGGCTTGGCACCGCCGTCTCCGTGACCTAGACCACGTGTGCTAGGCCAAAGACTTGGGCCAGCGGCTGGCTTTTACCCTCAGCCTTCCCGTCCTTCTCCCTCCACCCCTAAATCGCAACTTGGAGGTGCAGGTGGCCAGCCCAGACGCACCCTTGTTGGTCGCCAGGTAACAGGGCAGCTCTTCCTTGTAGACCTTCTGTCGGAAAGCCTGCCTCGGAAGGGGAAGGCATTGCCACAGGCTGGTGGCATCACCAGCCTCAGCCCACGGACAGTGGGGCTCGTCACTGAGGTTCCGTTGATTTGGAGCCCCCGGTTTGGGCGGCTCCCTATCTTGGAGGTTTAGGGCCTTCCCCGTAGCAGGTCCTGTGCCTGCTGATGGGTGTGGGTGAGGAGCCACCAAGCCTGCCTGTTGGCACTCGCCAACCCCTGCCCTGGCAGGGTGCTCTGCTTGATGCTAGGGTGTGAGGGCCGATGAGCCCGAGGGCCAGGACACTGCTGTCACCCTCATCTCGGGGGAGGAGACCTGGGGGGCAGGCAGACTGCTCACCACCTGTTCTGTACCCCCAGTTTCCTCGAGCTGATGGAGGCACGCAGCCGTGGCCACGCGTCCCCACTGGCAGCCGACGGGCAGAGCCCATCCTCAGGCTCCCAGTCTCCAGTGGTGCCTCCCAGCGCTGTGTCCACAGGGAGCTCCAGCCCCAGCACACCCCAGCCAGCCCCACAGCTGCCCCTCCACACCCCCTCGGCCAGCCCCTGTCCCCCACCCCCCACGGAGGCCCCACTGCCCCCTGCAGCCCCTGCCCCGCGGCGCAGCATCATCTCGAGGCTGTTTGGGACCTCACCAGCTGCCGAGGCAGCCCCTTCACCCCCAGGTGAGCCCCGGGAGCGGAGCAGGTGGGTGTGGGTGGCCCTAGTGGTGGAGCACTGGCCCCATGAGCTTGCAGACCGGGACAGGGTCTTCCTCCTTCCTCCTGGGCAGGCAGCCCCACAGCCCAGTCACATGGGTACAGCCCAGGATAGGCCTGGTGGGGGCGGGCGTTGGACAAGTGGGAACTGGCCTCTCCTGTCCACAGAGCCAGCCCCAGCTGCAGAGGCCCCAACCAAAGTCCAGAACGTGGAGGATTTCATTCCCGAAGAAGGCCTTGACCACAGCTTTCTGGATGACACAGTGCCCCAGAAGGATGAGAAGAAAGTCGGAGCCAAGGTCCTACAGGACAGTGACAGGTAGGGGCAGAGGCCAGGCAGGCCCTCAGTCTTCCCCCAGCCTCCCCCAGCCCTGGGGTGAGCTGAGGGGGCGCGCCCCGCCAGTTCGGCAGCATCTCAGAGGGAAGGGCTCCGTGAAGCCCTGCACCCCAGGAAGAAGCCTGCTCAGACCAGCCGTCAGGCCACTGCGTTGCTGACGTGGGCTGGGCCTCAGGCTCCATGAGCTCCCTGCCCACAGAGAGGGAGCAAGGGGAGTGAGGCTGGCCTGACCCTGCATGTTGGTGCCCATGACCCACCATCAGCACCTTCTTGGGCAGAAACCACTGGGAGCATGGGCACTGGCAGGAGAAGCCCAGGGCCTCCCCGGGACGTTGGGCAGACAGAGCAATTCAGGCCTGGCCTCCCACCCCAGCTGCTCACCCCTCATCATCAGCTCCTGGGCCTCTCCTGCGCGTGCTTCCCCGCGCCGCACTGAACCCAGGTCAGACCCACTCGTCCCCCAGCGTTCCGGGGTCCCTCCAGTCCAGGCTCCTCTCCCAATACCAGAAACACCCCCAGCCCATCCATGCCCACGCCCTGCACCCCACCATCACGCAGGAGGGCGCCCACTTCACACATCAGCAGCAGGCCCCACCGTGGCTTCTTGCTGCGCGCTGGCATCTCCGTCCCTCTCCTTGGCCCCCACCTCACGCCCCTGCCCCCACGCTGGCCTGCACCACTGCTATACCACACACCGCAGTGGGTTCCCTTGCAGAGGGGCCCCCGAGACCTAGACCGCCCCTACAGCAGGTCCCCTGTTGTCTGTCCTCCCACAAATGTTGAGTGCCAAGGGTAGACCAGCCTCTCCATCAGTGCCCACGCGATGCACAGAGAGGACCTCTGGTGCCTGTGGGTGCCAGGGGTCTGGAGCTTAGGGTGGGAAGCTGGGCTCTCTGTACCTCCCTGCTAACCTCTGACCACCCTGCCTGTCCCCCCCTTTGCAGCGATGGGGAGGCCCCAGGTGGGAACCCGCTGGTGGCAGGTTTCCAGGATGATGTGGATGTTGAAGATAAGCCGCCCAGCAGGCCCCAACTGCCCCTGGGCCCCAGGGAAGATGTGACTTCTTCCAGTGAGGAGGAAGCAGAGGGGGTGGCGGTGCACCCCAGGGCCACTGTCCTGGTCCCCGAGAAGTGCTCTGAGCCAGAGACCAAACGGTATGTGGAGGGGACCCGCCCCAGGGGTGGGGGCGGCCGAGAGCCCCCTGACCTCTTTCTTGTCCCGAAGGCCCTCCACAAAGGCCACGAAGCTGCACAGGGGTGCGGCTCCCAGGGCTGTGGAGTCCCGCCGGCCAGGGGTCCGCAAGTCCCCCACCGAGGACCCCTCTGGAGGGCATGAGGAGGGCAAGGACCAGCAGGCAGCGTCATCAGAGAGTGACCCTGAAGGGCCCATCGCCGCCCAGATGCTCTCCTTTGTCATGGACGACCCCGACTTTGAGAGCGACTCGGACCCTCAGCGGAGAGCGGTGAGAAGGGGACTTGGCGCCCACTCAGCTTGGAAGCCCTGGGGACAGTCTCGGGCGGGAATGGCAGGAAGGAGAAAGCGCCTGGCGACATCCTCCTGGGGCAGGAGCCTCAGATCAGTGTGTGGCCCCAGGGAGGGGCTGCAGCGTCCCGGCCCCCACATTGGTCCCTGCTGGCCACCCTGACTCCAGGTTGGGTGGCAGGGTCTTTCGAGGTGGCTTGTCACCTGCCTGAGAAATGCAGGAGCCCTCCCACAGGGGTCACATGACGGGGAGGACGCTGGCCGCCCAACCTGCCGGCTCCTTCTCCAGGATGAGTTCCCAGTGCGAGAGGACCTCTCTGACGAGACAGACGAGGATGCTGGTCCTGCCCAGCCACCCCCACCCCCGAAGCCCCCTGTGTCCTCCTTCAGACTGAAGAATGACTCGGACCTCTTCGGGTTGGGACTGGCGGAGACGGGCCGCAAGGAGATCAGCGATGAAGGTAGTTTGGGGGCCCGGGTGAGCTGGGGTCATGGGGTACCTGCCAGGACCATGTTGGAAGGATGGGCGGCAGGGGGCACCTGGCTGAGTGTCTGCACAGGTGGCATTTGATGACCTGGCAGGGTGGCTGTGAGCAGCACGCACTTCAAGTCCCGCCACCCCTGGGAAAAGTCGCATGGTTGGTAGGCCTGGGGAGCTCTCGTGGTGCCTTGTGGCCCCGGGCAGCTGCACAGCTCCCTGTCCCTACCCTCCATCCTGGGCCCCCTGAGCCCAGCTCAGCGCCAACTAGCGGTGTCACGTGAGACGTGTCCCAGAAGTTCCTTGTCCCCAAAATGGAGAGGAAAGGACCCTCCCAGGCTCGTGCTGGGATTGAAGTGTGTCTGCCCGTCAGCAGCTGTGTGCTCTGGCCCCCGCGGGTCTCAGTGCACCTGCCCGGCCGTGCGAGCCACCCAAGCGCCCCCTCCCCACACCGGCTGGGGAGCCGCAGGCCCATGCTGTGTCTTCTCTGCAGATAAGGAGGGCAAGCCTCCCACGAAAGAGAAGAAGAAGAAGAAGAAGAAAGGCAAAGAGGTAGGCACCCTGCCTCCCACCTCCCAGGTGCCTGCTGGGCAGTTTGGGGTCCTGGTGCCCCCACGACCTGAGCTGCCCTCTTCCCAGGAGGAAGAAAAGGCCGCGAAGAAAAAGAGCAAGCATAAGAAGAGCAGAGACAAGGAGGAAGGCAGGCAAACGCGGCGGCGGCGGCCCAGGGGTACAGAGAGCACCGCTGTGGACGAGCTGGAGGCCTTCCTGGGGGGCGCGGCCCCGGGGGGCCACCTCCGCGGGGGCGGGGACTACGAGGAGCTGTAGGCCTAGCCCCGCCCACCCACTGCGGTGGGGACGGGCCGCAGGCCCGCTCCTGGCTCCTGGGGCTGCGGGGCCCGCGCTGCAGGGAGTGGGCTAGCAGGCGGTGGGCGGGGCTCCGCAGGCCGCCGGCCCCCAGCGCTTCTCAGGGATGGGACTGAGGCCCAGGAGGCCGCGAGGCTGTTTACAGGGCGGGCCACGTCCTCGTCACCGGCCTGGCTCCTGCTTGCCCCCAGCCCGCTGCACTCGCTCTCCCAGCCCCCCCCCCCCGCCACGTGGGTGGGCTCCGCTTCCTGCCCCTTCTGGCATGGGGGGCACACCCCCGGCAGCACCGGCGCCTTCCCCAGGCTAGGGTCCAGCTTTGCACCTGCGCTGGGCTTGCTGCCAACCAGGCCAGGGGGGTCCTCAGACACTGTTTCCTCTCGTTCTCCTTCAACACTCCGACCATAAAGCTCTCCTGTTTTACTGTGTCTGTGTGCGCTTGTCCCTGTGCGCAGCTCCGCCCCAGCCCCATCTGTCCCAGGTCACAGTGGGTGGGTCTGAAGGTTCTGAGCTCCCTGCCTCTTCCCCAGAGAGGCAGCTGCCCCTGGATAGAGGAGGCCTTGCAGCCCCACGTAGCCCAGGAAGGTGGTCTGCAGAGGCCTTCCCGGCAGGCCCAGCCCCACATCTGTCCGGTCCTGGGCAGGCTGGGCGACCTAGCCATTGTCCCGCACAACGTCCTGCCAGAGCTAGGCAGCTGTGCCCAGGAACACCTGCGGGCCCCCAGCCCTTCTACGGCAAGTGCAGGTCTGCTCTGCTGGCCTGTACCAGCCACCTTCCTGGTCGGCCTTCAGACCAGCATCTCCCTGCAGACCCCGCCCCCTCCGGCTGCCAGCAGCGCCCAGCCCCCACCCACCACCCCACAGTTGCCATGAGAACCATGCACTCGGTGGGAGGGTGGGGGTGGTAGCCAGGCCTCCCCTCCCGGTCCAGAAGGCCTCCCCTTCCCCAATTCCTGTGCCTAGACGAAACCATGGCACTGGGCTGGAGGCCAGGCACCAAGCTGACACCTTAGGGACTTGCTTTAGCCCACAGCCTACGAGATCTACTGCCCTTGTGGAGCCCACTAAACATGGGGAATCAGGCTGACATGAAATGAACTTGCCCAGGGCCCTGGATCTAATGGACCCACGACAGGGCAGGTCCCGCCCTTTGGAGCCAAGGGCATCCTTGACTCAACCCCTCTGCCAAGTCAGACTGTGCCCTGGCTCAGCATCTTGTTTGGGAGGGGCTGAGAGGCCTAGGGGATGGGTGTCACTGTGTGGTTTGTAAGTGGACCACGTGCAGACCAGCCCAGGGCAGCGACAGCCCTCCACTCATCTAGACCCTGACCCCCAGGGAGCCCAGGAGAGTCTGAGCATCCTGGGGACAGGAGGCTGCAGGCCTCACTCAGCCGTGCCCATCTGGCCCCAGGTACCCGCAGAATTTGGCACCTCCGGCTCGGCAGAGCAGAGGCCAGCGGGGCTGGGAGCAGCCCATCTGCTCCTGCAAGGGCTCAGCGGAGGTGAGAATTCCGGGAGCTGTCAGCAGCCCCAGCCAGAGCTTGGGGCTCCTCCAGGGCGCTGCCCCAAGGCCACCACCAAGCCACCAGCTGCCCTTGGGGGGGGGTGTGTATGGCTGGAGGTGGGGACTAGCAGGACCGGCAGGGTGCTCCCTGGGTGTGGGCACCCCGGTTGGACCCTAGGCCTGCACCTTGGAAATGAGGGAGAACTTGTCACCTGGCGCTCAGCGCCAACACACAGCTGGTGGGCCACACGGGTCCCAGGCCCACCGCACGGCCCCTTTAAGTGCAGCCCAGCCGGCCGCCACCGGAGGCAGCACTGAGCGGCCAGCGGCCTCCGCGCCGCTGCCTCGAAGCTTCTGCCGGTGCCGGGGACGCCGCGGAGCGCCAAGAGGGGAAGGCGGAGCGGGCGCAGGCCTGCGCAGCCCACCGGGCGCGCGCGGTGGGGAAGCAGCGCCCAGGTAAGGGGTCGCGGGCCGCTGCCCCACGGGCCCTATCACGGGGCGGGGCGGGGGGCACCCGCCAGGATGGGGGCCCAGCCCGGAGCTACATCAGCGGGTCCCGACTCTGGGCGCTCAGGGCGGGGGCAGGGCTCTGCGGCGGGGAGGGCCGCGGGAGGGGCTCGTTAGGCCTCGGACCCCTGCAAGGCCGGCCATCCCCATGGCCTCGGGGAGGGGCGCCACCCAGTCCAGCTCCTCATCGCTGCAGAGGCAAAGCCGGGCTGTCACTTCCCTGGGGCGGAGCCTCATGCCCTGTCATCGGACCCCCAATCCCGGCCTGGCTTTGAGCTTAGGTTGGAAAGGGGGTGAGAAGGGGACAGTCCTGTGAACAGGGACGGAACTGGGGTGGGCGCAGGGCTGGGATGGGACAGGCACCCAGGCGTCATGGCCCTGACCCAGAAGAGCAGCCCTGCGGGCAGAAAGCCCCTGGCACCCTGGGACACAGAGGGTCGACCTGACCAGAGATCCTGCCAGGTGAGGGCCCAGCCCCCGGGGTCGCCCTCACTCAGCCTGGGGCATGCTTCCCAGTTTGTGTGAGGAGGGGGCCGTCAGCATCGCCGGAGACCCGACCCAACCTGTCCAGAGACCCTGTGCACCAGAGGGGCTGGTGGCCCCAGTCCGAACATTAGCCCAATGCACAGGGTGGACCCCAGCCCAGCCCCCACTGCGGGGGCAGAGGAACCTCAGGTTGCCATGGAGCCTTCCTGAGCTGTTGTGGAGAGGGCCCTCTCCTGAGAAGCAGTGAACAAGGGGGGGCTTTACCCGCCCACCACCCTGCCTCCCCTGCTTGCGGCCCGGCCTGGTGCGCTGCTCAAGGGAAGAGGGGCAGCCATGAGCTCGTGGCTCACGCCCCCACGTGGTCCTGCAGTGGGTGCCTGGTTTCCCAGCTGCAGTGCACAGGCTGCAAAGCTGGGGAGTGGCTCTCCGGTCCTTGTCATGACAACCCCAACAAGCTTGGTGGGTTTCAACCACCCCAAGATATTGGGGATCAGAGAAGGTTTCTGCAAAGGAACAGGGGTTTTAGGGCCCAGGGATGCTCTTTGTGGGGCATTATTCTGGCCTGGGCCACACGAAGGGCTAAGAGTTGGGCAGGTCAGTCTGTCAGTCCAGGGACCACGCCTGGACCTGATGGAGCCATGTCAGTGCCCACTGGGCCTCCCAACTGGAGTTTGGTTCAGGGGACCGTTCCCAGTGCAGCTGCCACTGCAGTCCTGGGGGAGGGACTCCATGCCCCACCTGGTCAGCAGGTGGGTAGGGAGGCTCAGTGACTTTGTGCAGAGCCGGCTAAGGCTGGGGCCCCTGGACTCCCCCTCAGCACCATCAGAGGGCTTGCTCTGCACTGGGCACTAGGAGGGGGCTTCAGTCACCAACGGGTTTTGTGAAGCCAACACCTATAAAGAAATCTGTAAATAAGGCTTCCCATGAGCATTCAGTCATTGCAGATGGGACCACCCACCCCCCATTGCTCCTGCCCCAGGAAAGGGGTTCTACCCAAACCTGTCCAGTGGTCACTATTCGGGGCAGAGGGGCCATCCAGGGATACGGGCCCAGGGGGTAAGAGCTCGGAAACCACAGCAATAGCATGGCCTTTCTGGCTGACTGGCTCCATCCCAGCAGAAAGTGGCCCTGAAAGGATGGCCTGGGACAAGGGGCAGGACCTGAGTGGCTGGACACCTGGGTTCCTCCTGCAGGTGCTTCTGACGCCGGCATGGAGCAAGCGCCTGTGGCCTCAGCCAAGGCCCGCAGCCAGGACTGCTACGTCCACGGCGTCCCAGGTAAGTCAGGTGAGCGCAAGGGTGCCGCCAGGCCTGGGTTGCAGAGGGGACACCCTGACCCGCATCTCCCACCAGGGCAAAAGCCCCCCAGGGCAGAGTAAACTGCAACCGCCAGCCTGGGGACCTCTTTTAAGATGACCCGCACGGACCCGCCGGACCTGTTGGTGTCGACCGTGTACCAGGACATCAAGGTGGCGGCCCCCGGGCCCGCGTCGCGGCGCCCGCCATGTGAGCACTCCGTGGCCCCGCCTGCCGCGCCCGCGCCTTTCAACAAGCGTCACTGCCGCAGCTTCGACTTCCTGGAGGCGCTGGACGGGGCGGCCATGGAGGCCCGCACAGAGCCGCCGCCCCCGGAGCCTGCCGCACCGCGCGCCCGTCCCCGCGACGGCGAGCCCCGGCGCCGCGCCCGCTCCAAGAGTGCGCCCCGCGCGCCCCCGGGCCTGGCGCCGGCGCCCGCCTCGCCGCCAGTGCTGCCGCGCCGCGGCCGGGAAGCCCAGCGGCCAGCGCGGGCCGAGGCATCGCCGCACCGGGAGCCTGCGTACCCCGCGCTGCGCGCGCTCGCCAATGAGCTGCACCCCATCAAGCTACAGCCGCAACGGGGCGGCCCTGGCCGCATCGCGCCCCTCTGCGCCACCACCGGCCGCTGCGCGCCCCCCGAGCCACCCGCCGGGCCTGCACCCCACGTCCGCTGCCGCCTGGACATCAAGCCCGACGACGCGGTGTTGCAGCACACCGCCTGGAGCTCGCGGTCCTGCGGGCCCGCGGAGACCACGCCCTGGGCACGCGCCGCCCCCCAGTTCCACGGCCTCACAGTGCCCGGGCCTCGCCACATGGCGCTGTCGCGCACCCCCACCCCCAGTGACACGTACTGTGCGGACCCCCGGGCGCTGTACTGTGATGGTCCGCTGCCTGGGCCCCGGGACTATACAGAGCGCCGAAATCTGCCCTTCACCACGCCGCCAGTCCCCACCCAATTCTTCTACACAGAGGAACCCGAGGGCCACCCTGGCGGCTTTCCGGCCAGCCCTGGGCCGCCCTTCGACAGCTACTATGCCAGGCCCTTCCCGTCCGAGGAGCCCCCTGTACCCAGTCCAAGGCGCAGCAGCGGCTACTATGCGGGGGAAGTGCGCACCTTCCCAGTCCAGGAACCGCCCTCCCGTTCCTACTATGTGGAGGCCGCTCGAGCCTACGGACCACCCTGCGGCCCCCGCTATGCTCCCGAGGAACCCCGGGCTCATCCCCCTCTCCGCCCCTTTTACACAGAGGACTTCGGGCGGTACCGCGATCGCGATGCCCTGGCTCGGACTTACCCACACCCACGCGGCAGCCCCGCCTGGGGTGACTGGGGCCTGCGGCCTTACCGCACCTTGCAGGTGGTGCCTCCTCCGGACCCTGGCCCATTGCTCGCCTCTTGGCACGCGGGCACCGGCACCAGCCCGCCCCGGCTGGCCACTGACAGCCGCCACTACTCTCGCTCCTGGGACAACATCCTGGCGCCTGGGCCGCGCCGGGAGGACCCCCTGGGCCGCGGCCGCAGCTACGAGAACCTGCTGGGGCGCGAGGCACGGGAGCCGCGGGGGGCATCCCCCGAAGGCCGGCGTCCACCCGTCGTGGTGAACCTGTCCACCTCACCTAGACGCTATGCGGCGCTGTCTCTGTCAGAGACGTCACTGTCAGAGAAGGGCCGCGGGGGCGAGGGCCTGGGCCGCAACTGGTATGTCACACCTGAGATCACCATCACCGACAACGACCTGCGCGCCGCAGAGCGTCCGACTGCCAGGGGCTGGGAGCTGCCCGGAGGGCGACCCCGGCGGTCTCCGCCCGCCGCCCCCGAAGGCCCCACTGGTGGCCGCCAGCGCAGCCTCGAGCAACTGGACGAACTCATCACCGACCTGGTCATCGACTCTCGGCCCCCGGCCGGCCAAGCCCCGGAGCCCGTGGCCGATGGCCTGGGCCGCCAGCTGCGTCGCCTGCTGGACTCTCGGCCCGCGGGCCCCGGGGCACCCGCGCTGGCGCCGCGCTCGCCACCCGCGTCGGCCGGCAGCACCGAAGAGCCCGCGGGCCCGGGGCAGGCGACCGACGGGTCCCCGGAGCCCAGCGCCGACGAGGACGACCTGATGACATGCTCCAACGCGCGCTGCCGGCGCACCGAGACCATGTTCAATGCCTGCCTCTACTTCAAGTCCTGCCACAGCTGCTACACCTACTACTGCTCGCGCCTGTGCCGCCGCGAAGACTGGGACGCGCACAAGGCGCGCTGCGTGTACGGCCGCGTGGGCAGCGTGTGCCGCCACGTGCTGCAGTTCTGCCGGGACAGCGGCCCGGTGCACCGCGCCTTCTCGCGCATCGCACGTGTCGGCTTCTTGTCGCGCGGTCGCGGCGTGCTCTTCCTGGGCTTCCCGAGTCCGGGCTCTGCAGACAACTTCCTGCGCTTCGGCCTCGAGGGCTTGCTGCTGTCGCCCACCTACCTGTCTCTGCGCGAGCTGGCCACGCACGCGGCGCCCCTGGGCAGCTATGCGCGCGAGCTGGCGGCCGCCGGGCGCCTCTACGAGCCGGCCGAGTGCTTCTTGCTCAGTGTGTCGGTGGCCGTGGGCCCCGGCGCCACGCCCCCCGGCGCCTCCGCCCGGCCTGCGCCCGCGCCGCGCAGTCCTGGGCCCACCGTACGCAAGTTCGCCAAGGTGGCGCTGGCGGCCGGCAGCCCGGCGCGTCCGCCCCCGGCTCGGGGTCGCGAGCCCGACATGGAGACGCTGATCCTGACTCCGCCGCCCGGCACGGCGGGCCTGGACCAAGAGGGCGAAGCAGGCCGGCGCGCGCGCGAGGTGGCCTTCATCCACATCCAGCGTGAGCTGCGGCTGCGCGGCGTCTTCCTGCGCCACGAGTACCCGCGCGTCTACGAACAACTCTGCGAGTTCGTCGAGGCCAACAGGCGTTTCACGCCCACCACCATCTACCCCACGGACCGGCGCACCGGCCGCCCTTTCATGTGCATGATCATGGCTGCCTCCGAGCCACGCGCGCTGGACTGGGTGGCCAGCGCCAACCTGCTGGACGACATCATGTGAGCCGCGGGGTGGCGCCTGGGCTCCGCCCAGCCCGCTCAGGGCCCGCCCACTCCGACCCCGCCCAGTCCACGTAGGGCCCACCCCCGAGCTGCGCCCAGTCTACTCAGACACCGACCGCCCAGTCCATCCAAAGCCCACTCCGAGCCCACACAGCCCTCTCAGGGCCCGCGCCGTCCACCTAGGGCCTGCCCCCCGACCTCTGCCTGCCTACTCAGACCCCGCCCCCAGCCCACCGGGAGCCCCGCCCAGCCCCTCAGGCCCGGCCGTGCTCCCCCCAGTCTTCCACCTGTTCGCCACAAGCTCCGCCCAGACCCTGCCCTTTGGAGTCAGCAGTCCCCGCCTTTCCCTCCCCCCCTCCCTCCCCCAGCTAGCCCTGGGGCCTCCCCGGAGGCCGGTCCTCGGGCCCCTTGGTGCTCCCCGCTGGGAGGCGGGGTGGGCCTGAGGACCGCCCGGCCCTGCCTTCAAGAGGACGGGTCACTACTGCAGACCCCACCGCAAAGATCCGGTCAGCCCATTTCCTGACGTCCACAAGGCCTCCCTGGAACCTCCCCAACCCTGGTTTGCCCTGATCCAGGAGCCCGCTTGACCAAAGCCTAGTCCCGTCCCTTTAACATGCCCCCACCCCTTTCCTGTGGTTTGGGGTGCGTCCTGCTCCGAGGCCGTTCCTCTCTGAAGGACACCCTGACTAGTCCCGGTGTGTTCGTGTCCCAAGCAGACAAGGCTGGTGGGGGCCCTGCACGGCCCGTTCCCGCTGGCTCAAGCCCCGGCTAGAGAGCACAGCTGGACCCCGAGCCCGCACATCGGCGGCGCTCTCCGTCCTCCGGCCGCCCTGACATGGGCCCTGCAGGAGGGTTTGGGGGAAGCAGCAATGGAGGGGTACTCGGAGGTCTTCAGCCGTGGCTCAAGACACCCAGACAGAGGAGGGGGTACCTGGGAGGGGAAAAGAGGGCGTGGGTGTGGACGCTAGCAGGATCCAGCCCAGAGCTGAGTCCCGGCAGGGCGTGAGTCAGGCTGTCTGCCCGCCCAACACCGACGGGAGGCCCCCTAGGTGGGTGCCAGGGTAGTGGGAGGAGGGAAGAAGATGCATGGGGTGGATGAACGGGAGGGAACGTAGAGGCGGTCCAGAAGGGACTCCTACCCGCTAACGTAGTGGGGGACAAAAAAGATTGGACGTTCCCAGCTGGGAGCGGGTGCCGGAGCGAGCTAGTTGACCAGGGCAGTGTCTACTGGAGGGGTGGGGGTATGACTACACGAATGGCCTCGCGTGCTTGTGGCCTTGCCCTAGGCTGTGGGCTGGAGACATGAGGCCGGCGGCCAGGCTCCGGTCCCGGGAGCGCACATTCATTGGTCCACGGCCCTCGCTCACTAAGAGCGAGTGACCCTGAGAGGGAACTAGGCCGGACCTCGCAAGTGCCCTCTTGGAGCTGCCAGCACTCCCCATCGCGGCCAGGAGAGGACATCCTCCACACCTCTGTTCCCGGCTCTCGCCCCAGCCCCGTTCACTCCCGCCCATCCCCCCAACGCCTGCGCGCCCGCCTTGGCCTAGCGCGTTTGCACCGGCCACGCGCCCCGCTCACCCCACCCGCCTTCCTTCGGGGCTTCCCAAGTCCGGCCGCCCCGCCCCCTGCCCCCCCCCGGGGGGGGGGTCCTCAGGTTTCCGCCCAACGCCTGAGGGCTGGCTGGCCAGGAATTACCCTGGACCAGGATTATTTCCAGGGGGCGAACGCTTTCCAACCAAGTAAAACAGAACTCAAATGTAGACATTGCTTCCTCTTTGGGGGTGGGGGAGTTGTGGGTGGGACTTCGACGGAGGACTTCGCACCGGCTGGGCCCGGCTGGGCGGGTGACGGAGGGAAAGGAAGAGGGCCTTGGGACACGGTGGGGGACGGGGAGGGGGGCCTTGGGCCGTGGTGGCGGACGGAGAGGAGGCCTTGGGACGCGGTGGAAGGACACGGAGGAGGGCCTTGGCACGCGGTGGGGGACGGGGAGGAGGGCCTTGGGACGCGGTGGGGACGGAGAGGAGGCCTTGGGACGCGGTGGAAGGACGCGGTGGAAGGACACGGAGGAGGGCCTTGGGACGCGGTGGCGGACGGAGAGGAGGGCCTTGGGACGCGGTGGGGGAC